GGGGCTGGGCTGTCCCCAGGTTCCTGCTCCTCTTTCACGTGTCTCCCGCTGCAGCTGCTGCGCGCGTCCTGCTTCAGCGAAAGCTTCTCCAGTGAAGACTTCGGTGCTGGTGGGGAGAAAGCAGCCGAGCCCCGAACGGGAAACGCAGCCCCGGGGCGGGGGACAGGACATCCCGGGCACTGGGGACCTGACATCTTGGGTTCTGAGGACCAGGACCACCCGGCTGCGGTGGACAGGACATCCTGGGTGCTGGGGATGGGACATCCCGGTGCTGGAGACCAGACGACATCCTGGACTCTGGGGACAGGAGCATCCCAGGCACTGGGGACCCGACATCCCGGGTGCTGGGGACCAGGACAACCCAGCTGTGGGGGACAGGACATCCCAGGCACTGGGGACGGGACATGCCAGGCACTGGGGACCAGGACAACCCTGCTGCAGGAGATGGGACGACCTGGGTGCTGGGAATGGGACATCCCGGCTGTGGGGATGGGACATCCCAGCTTTGGGGGACAGGACAACTTGGCTGCAGGGGACAGGACATCCTGGCTGTGGTGGACAGGACATCCTGGGTGCTGGGGACAGGACATCCTGGGTGCTGGGGACGGAACAACCTGGCTGCAGGGGACAGGGCATCCCAGGCACTGGGGACGAGGACAACCTGGCTACAGGGCATGGAACATCCTGGGTGCTGGGGATGGGACATCCCAGCTGTGAGGGACAGGAGAACCTGGCTGCAGGGGACAGGACATCCTGGACACTGGAGACCCGACATCCTGGGCGCTGGGGACCAGGACAACCCGGCTGTAGACAACAGGACATCCCAGGCACTGGGGACCAGGCATCCTGGGCTATGGGGACCAGGACAACCCAGCTGCAGGAGATGGGACATCCTGGGCTCTGGGGACAGACATCCCGGTTGCGGGGGACAGGAGCATCCCAGGTGCTGAGGATGGGAGCACCCCGGGTGCCAGGAACCCAACCGGGACATTCCAAGCCGACAAGGACCCTCTGCCCTCGGTG